GACTGACTTGAAGGCACCAAAAAAAAAAAAAAAAAAAATTGAATTAGGAGCATCAACAATCCAACATTTTTTAAAAAGTAAATGAAAAATGTTGCAACTACATTGGGTTTGCTGCCAAAAACAATTGTTAGGAATTAAATAACCCTGCCCTTGAAAGAGCTTCATTTATTATACTGAAGACGTAGTTAATCAAGTGGAGGTAGCAGGAACTTTGGGAGAAAGAAATGTTATTTTGAAATTATTAATTTTAATGGAAATTAAAGCTGAGTGTAATCAAATGCATATTTTCAACTTAAAAAAAATTAATAAACTTAAAGCATGTAAAAAGCAGGATTCCATAACAGAAGAAGGTATGTGGAAAAGGAGCTCAAGGTGGATGAGAGTTTCTAAGGAAAAAAAGATACTAAAAGCATAATTGTAACCACTCCTGATGAAGATTAATATTAATGAAAATAGAGGGAAAAAGATATAAAAGAAAAAAAGGCCAGGCCACTAAACAACAGTGTACATAGATAGTCTAGTTAGTATCAGGAAAGTGGTAGCTCAGATTGATCTGAGACTGGGGGAGCATACTAAGGACAAATAGGATTTCTTTTGATATGTTCAAAACAAAAGGAAAAAAAATGGAATCAGTATATCAGCTGTTCAATAAAGAAGACAAAATGCTAACAAGTAACAAAGAAGTGAGCTACTCAGTTCCTATTTTGGTGCAGTGCTCACCACCACAACCACCAAAAAAACAAAAACAAAAACCTGTTTGTTCCACCAGGAAATTATAAAGAGTAGAAGGAAGGAGCAAGATTGAAGTTTAGCATTGATAAAACCATGGTCAGAAATATTTCTTTAGTCTGAATGAGTTAAATCTCTGGGGCCAGTTGAATTGCCTTTTGGGCTCCTGATAGACCTAGCTGATAAGAATAGCTATGCTGGAACAACCCAAGACCCATCTCAGTCCAGTATTTTGTTTCTCAGGTGACCAAACATATACCTCTGGAGTACTCACAAGTAGGAGAGGGATACATACTCCATTCCTGCTGTTGTTCCACTCAACTAGTATTTGGAAATATGCTACCCTAAGTTGGATGTAACACTGAATCTTCTATTTTAATAGCAATCAAGAGACCTGTCTTCCATTAATGTATTAAGTCCCCTGTTAAAGCCATCCAAATTAATGATCATCAACATGTCTTGTGATAACAAATTCTGCAGGTTAATTACTGTGTGAAGAAGTACTTTCTATTGTCTGTTCCAAATCACCATTCAATCAGCATCACTGGATCACCCCTGATTCTGATATTTTGACAAGAGGAAGAAAAATGTCTCCCTGTCATGCATGATTTTATACCCTTTCATCATTTTCCCATTCAGTTGCCTTTCTCCTAGCAGTTTTTTTTTTTAACAACTGCTGAACACTGACTCAATAATGTCATTAAGATATCCACTATGACCTCAAAATCTTCCTAGTTAGTTACAGATAGCACAAACCCCATCAGTATCAATGTGAAGTTAGGGGTTTTTGCCTCAATGTGTACCATTTTATATTTTCTTAAAATAATTTTGTTGACCATTCACCCAGTTTAAAAAGTTTCTTCTAGAGCTCTTCACAATCATCTTTGATTTTCACTATGCTATTCAGTATCATTCATAGGCTTAGCTAATTCATTGCTTATCCTAAGGCTAAAGCTTAATAAACAAGTTAAAAAGCACTGGTTCTGATACACCTAGTGAAATTCCAAAGTTGAGGGGGGATTAGAACTTTTAAAAAACTGGTAAAGTACCAGATGACAGGAGAGCAAGGATTTTCAAAAAGGGTACAGAGGAAGATCCAGCAAACTACAGACCAAAATGGCAAAAAACCAAAAACCAAAAAAAAAAAAAAAGATGAAGTAAAAAAGGTATCATTCTAGTCATGCAGTGTAGGCTTTGAATTTTAAGCCCCTATAGCTCTGCTTTTGTAGGTTTTAGGGGAACCTTTTGGCAGAACAATTTAAGATACTGTATAGAGGGCTATAATAGGTAATGAAAATCAATTAAAAACAGGTATTTCAATTTGTGTAAGAGAAAACACAACCTGCCACCATTAGATATAACTCAGTTAAGGTATCACTAAAAAAAAGAAACAGTCAAGAAACAGCTTTGGACAAAAGAAAGGAACAATTCTTGTTAAAAGCCACAATCAAAATAGTAGACATTCCAATGCAGACACCTGTTTTTGATCTAGTTTAATATCATAACCACTATACTGGCTTTTTCCTCTTAAAAATACTGTCAATAAATTTATACCTGAATACTTTGTATCCTTTTTGTTTTAAATGGAACCGTCTACCTAACTGACCTTGGGTGATACTGAACAGGCTAAGAAGAATCAGATCTGGTTAATACTTGGATGAGATACCACTTGACATCACACAACTGTAGATTAGCTTGGGAAGTTGAAAAACATTGTGGAAGAAGGCAAAGGCAAACCATTTCAGTATTATTGCCAAAAAAATGGACCTACCACACAGTCATCAGGTGTTAAGTTTGACTAGAGGGAAACTTTAATTTTTATTGGATAAGTCTGCATGAGTCTGAAGCTTGAGAAGCTGATTAAATTAAAAAAGGGAAATTAACTATTTTTCAAAAGAGTGTAGCAACACTTTGTCTTTAGGAAATTGATAGCAATTTCAGTTATTGTGTAATAACAGTATGTTTTACTTTACTTCAGTAGGAGTAACAGTTGTTTACTTTTTGAGTTCCTCACACAGAGGCTTAAGTAACTACATATTCTGTACCTTCTTTATAAGATGTCCTTATAGTTCAAAAGATATTTTGTAACCCATTACTCCTACTGATTACTGTTAAAAGTTTTTATACTTTGTATTATTTGAATATAAACATAAAACAAAACTTGATGTATTTTATTCTCATTTCATATACTGAGAAACAAAACCTAGAAATAACAAATGTCCCAAGCAAAAGAAATTAATTTACAATTCAAATGGGATATTATAATCCAGGTCTTTCAAATTCTAGCTCATCTTAGATTCTGATCCACATTTCCCACCACAGAATGGGCAAATAGAGAATTGTGGATGGGAGACTGTCTTAGGAAACACAGTGAAATACACTAGAACTGTGAGGTGGGGAGTAGATGGAATGAAGCAGAGGGTGCCATGGAACTGTGGAAGGGTACTGGAGAATGGATTTGGTTGGAGATGAATGCTGTAAGGATATGGTGTTGGAGGTGGGGGAGACAGCATCATTTGATGTCTGTGTTGGTGGGCAGAGCAAGCAGCAGCTAGGACAAGTTGTTGGGCTGGGACTGCTGATGGTGAAGGACTGCAGTCTGGGGAGGGCTTTTTGGAGGCTACTCCAGGGCCAGCACAGGTTCCCCAGGGATCCTGGTGACTGACTGGGGCCCTATTATTGTTCCTTGTCAGATCTGGATGATACTTTTGACTTCCTGAGGATTGGCCCTCTGAGAGATGGGGAATCTTGGTGGGTGGTCCACCATAAAGTGAGAGAACACCATGGGGAGGTGTCCTCTGCCATGGTGCCACAGTTAAGTGTGGGTTCCAGAGGATATTAAGACACCAGTTTGGGCTTACTGAATTGGCAGGACAGTTGCCTGCTTCTATTACAGAATTTTGAAGCACCTGGATCCCTTTCAGTCAGGATTTACATATGGGAATGGGACAAAACTGTTTTGGTCACTCTGATGGATGACATGGATAAAGTGCTCTTGGTTCTCTCAGTAGCATTCAATACCATAGATCATAGCAGCCTTCTTGAACAGCCTGTGAGGGGTACATTGCAGTGGTCCTGATACATTTTATGTGAGTGCTTCCAGTCAGTGGTAATGGGGAAGAGAGTTCAGCCAGGTGGGTTGCTTACTTCTGTGATGCTCTTGGGCTCCAGTGTCTCTTCCTTGCTTTTTAATATCTACATGAAACTGCTCGGACAGACCATCTGTTGGTTTAGGGTGAAGTATTATTAGCATCCTGATGACTGCAAATATTTATATCTACCCCAGACCAAGCTGGAGATATGGTGGAGGTCTTAACATGGTGTCTGGAAACTATGAAAAGTCTGGATGGGGCTAAATAAACTGAAATTTAGAAGATGGAATTGCTATTGTACAAAAAGCATCTGGCTTTCTGTCACTTCCTATTGTAACTCTGGATGGAGTTGCACTCTCCCTGAATGATCAAGTTTGCAATTCATAGCTGCTGCTGGATTTGCAAATGGAGTGTTGTGGCCATGGGAATCTTTCACCAGCTTCAGTTGGTGAGCCCATGCTGGCCTTATTGGTGCCTGATGTTTTGGTGACAGTATCCTATGCCCTCATCATTTCTAAGCAAGACTATACTTTACATGGGGCTGTCTTTTAGGATTTTTTATATTACAACTGGTGCAAAGCACAGCAACCCACCTCTTAGTGTAAGAGAGCCATTATAATCACATCAATCCTATTTTGTGTGTGCTCCGTTGGCTTCTGTTAGCTTTCCTGGCACAATTCAAAGTAATAATCTTTGAGCCCTTCATGGCTTGGCTCCCAGATATCTTCAGGACCATCTCTGCAAGCAGAAATGGCCTTTCTTGTATAGCAGTACTTAAGTACTTCTTTTGAGAGGTTGGGGTACAGAGGCTATGCTTCTGAAACAGCTTTCTCCCACCCTGATGTCCTTGAGGAAGATTATTAATCTTGAAGGGTCACACTGGACTGGGCAATAGGGGCCATTAGTTAATTTGATATCTTTTTTGAACCATTTTATTGTTTACTATGCTTTTATGGTTTACAATAAAAACCATAAAACGTAATAAAAACATTAAAATGTTTGGCAGCTACAATTGGGCAAAATGCATCAAGCTAAGTATGTTCCAATAGTATAACAGCAAATTCAAGGATTCTGAGTTTGGAACACCTAAGCTGACTTCTATGAAAGAAAAACATTTTAAATAAAATTTACACTTTACATTCAAAAACCAAAACTTTATCTTTCAGTAGGAATGAAATCATTTTTGGTTAATAAAGCAATGCAAACTATTATTTACCTCCAACATTCGTGGTATCCATCCTTTCCGATAACCATAAGGAGGAGGTTCCCTTCGTGATGACACCAATGCAGTCTGTCTCACTCTTTGAGATCTTGCTCTCTCCTCTAATTCCAGTTGGTCCTGAGACAGCTGAGTTGGTGCTGGTAAAAAACTAAGCAAACAGAGAAGAAATTAATATTGTTCTCTCTTTCAATATAATATGTGACATTTACTCCAAAAATATTTTTAAAAATGGTTCTGTGTTTGACTATGAAACTATCCACAGTGCTTAATATTGTTCAGATCTTTTGGCAATTAAATCTATGGAGAAAGGATTAATTTTCATGTTAGTCATCTTCAGTTCTGAACTGTTCTTTTTAGATTGTTTTAGGAGCTCAGAAGCTACAAATTCTACTTCAGTTATTTCAAATGATAATTGCTTCAGATTTAGAGCTTTACTGCAGTGCTTTATATACAGTGCAATATATCCCACTGTGATTCTCTTATGCAGTATACCAACACATAAATGGAAAAGATGAGCCGAGATCCCAATTGCTATAGGCTCGCTTTCAGATTTTCCTTTCTATGCTTCATCACTGCCAGTATGGACACAAAGGCCAATTACTTACATTGGATTTACACTCTGACTGAGCTATACAGTAATATGTTGGAAACCCGGCTAAAACAAGCATCTGTTTTTTTACTACGTACATATGTTAATCTCATAAGATTAACATACTGTACAATATATTGAAATGCAAGTTGCTGTATAAGGATGTTCATGCATTGCTATTATACAACTGACAAATTAAAACTGAAGATGTAAACGTAACACATGAAAATGTTTTGTTTGGGGCTACCTGGAATAAAAAATGGCCCATTCCACTTAGTGTTATCTAGCAGTGGATTCCAATCCGACCCGGAAATAACAGTGACCTATTTGCGCATGTGGAAGCCATTGTTATCAGCAACCTCCTATATGATCCTTGCTGGGTGAAAACAATTTTAGATTTGAAGTTCAATTTTCGGTATACTGTGGTCAATCGATCACACCCTACCGATCCTAATTGGGGGGGGGCGGCAGAGAAGGGGTGACCACCCAATACATTCTTTTTCTGGATAGTCGGCCAACCTAAACACCGTGCGGCCAAACATTTACTTATTATTTCTGAACCGAAGCTTTCATTTCTGAAAGGATTCTACTATTCTTATTAAGTGCACTATATGGGGGCGGGGGCAACAGGCCGGCCGACCAGCCTGGGGAACAAGCGCTAAAGAAAATGCCCGGATCACCCCAGACCTCCCTAACGCAACCTTCCTGTAATCAATCCACTTCACCACAGACCACGATGTGTATACATCTAGGCTTACAGTATATATAAAAAAAAAGAAATCCAGGAACAAGTCAACAACCTACCCCTACATCATAATAAACTCCCATTTCTTCCCCTCAACCCACCTGGTCAGCGCCATTTTGTTGTCCTCCTCCCTCTTCTGCGAATCCTGCGTTGCTGATGGTGAATGACGCCCACCCCGAAGGAAGGGAGGAATCCAACGGCATTCTGGGAGTTGTAGTGTTTACGTTTTTTTTTTAATGTAAGCGGGAAGACATGAGTCTGTCTGTGTGGACGCTTTGCAGTACTAGAACGCTTCGAGGTGTTTTGTAACGGATGTAAAGAAATCAGTGGTTGAGGATTTCGTTGGGAATGTGATTCTTCTGAACACAGATTGTCTTTCAAATGTATCTCCAAAAAATAAAAAGGGAAAAGAAGTCATAAGAAAAGTGCTCTAGGGAGTGGAAGAAAATTTGATGGAATTCGGTAATACTACGATGAGGTGTTTTTTAATTTTTTTGCAGGATGAGATGAATGACAATTTGGAAGGAGCGGGGCTGTATAATGTACAAGAAAGCCTTTGTAATGTAGTGGTTACAATATATGAAATGAAAAAAAGCTAAATTCCTTGATACTACCAGTAGGAGTTGAAAGTGAAAAACAATAGATTAGCGTGGAGTAGAGGACTAGACTGTATTGATAAAGGCTGAGTTCCCGCGATATGTTGATTAACTGAACGGTGGTCTACTTAACTAGGAAAATGCCTTGGGTTTTGTACAAAGCACTAAACTATCATTGCCTCGCTTGCTGAGTTCACACAAGACACTGCAACAACCCAGTCCACAACCTTTTACTGTAGTTTAACATGATGGACAAGCCAAGTGAAATTTTTTTAACTGGGGGCAAGCCAGTTAAAGCTCTCTGAATTATTTGAAATAGATCAGTAAGGATTTCTAACTCCTGTTTAATTACGGCATCAAAAAGGTTGAGATTGCACAACATGCTAAGCCAGAATGAATCGTTTTCATTTACAGCACTGTATTGTGATAAGTGAATCCAGCTAAAACTTTTTACCTTTCCCATGAAATAAAAAGAAGAATCCACATATCTGAGATCTCCCTGCTCTGCTCTGCATGGCTAAACTTACTCAATTTTTAAAATAAAATTATATGGAAGTACAGTAGGCTTCTCTAAGTTTCCTATGAAAGTTCCTACTTTCAGCCTAAATATGTATGAAATTGCAGCCTCAATAGGCTTAGAGAAAATCAGAGAGTACCTAAGTTTTTTCTGAAGGCTCTGGTCACATGATATGCTTACCCATACTTAACTATGATTTGTTTATTCAATCCAATTTTCTGGATGTATGTAACACTGAACTATACATTAACCACAGACTGAGTTCACACATCATTTGTTACATTTATATGCTGCCTTACCTCCAGGAACTCATGGTGGCAGACATGATTTTGTCTTTTTAACTCCATGACAGATAAATAATGCTGAAAGCATGGGGGTTAATATTTTGTACAAAGTTGTATTTTGCAGTTTATGCTTGTATTCCACTTGTTTTTTGTTTTTTAAAAATCCCAGAATGAAAATGCAATTAAAAGTTTTTTAAAAAAACAAAACAAAAACAAATACAAACCCCCAAACAAATTAATTTTTAAATGTTACAATTAAAATGAATAATTCAATAAAACTCTTAAACATATGTACAAGGCCAACAGAGTTTTAAACCTATGAAGATAGTCAGAAATGTAGCAGTACAAGGTGAACAAAACTTAAGCCTGGGGTGGAAGTTTAAAATTTGGTATCAACCATAACTAACCAGGAAAGGAATTCCATAGCAAGAATGCTTAACTATAGCTTGTATATTTTTGTGAGGTTGTATGTTTTAAACAGTTTTTATTGTTTTGTATTTGTATTTGTAAGAGTCTATGGGAGTGTGCCATAATTAATTTAAAATAATAATAATAATAATAATAATAATAATAATAATAAAAAATAGCTTGTTGAATAAGGTACAATGGCTGGATTTGTATATAATGCTGAACCAGAAACCATATGTTACAGGTAGCAACAACTGAATTCATACAGCATACCAAGATAAACCAAATTTAGCACATCAGTAACATTTCTGCTCTATATTAATTTAAACACTACGT